AAAAGTAAAAGATAAAATGAGGACGGAGTGGTTCTACAGAACCCAACGTCCAGTATTAGAATTTAAAGTTTACTGCCTACAGCCCGAACGAATCAATACTAATTTACTATAAATTGTAACAAGGAGCAGTGCATGAATTTGACATCTTAGACTTGTTCATGTGAGGCAGTTGAGCCACAAATAAGAGATGTATTTAGTACTCTCCATTAAAAGGCGGCCGACATGACACATTCGACAACTCAATACATGGTAATTACGACATAAACATAAACTATAAGGTAACCTCAATGCCAACACACACCAAGAGAAGTAAAATCCTATGGCAGAACCAATATTTACCCCTTCATCAAACCATCGCATGTCACAATGCAGACAAGGTAAATTGAACAGCCATTGAAGAAAACACACCATAACAAAGAGTAGGAGCAAAATGAACAGAAAAAGTAACAAATATAACCTGAACACAAGACAAATACATAAACAAATACATAAATACCTGAAGAAGGCTGGTGGCGTAACTGATGTAGTTACGAACCAAGCCCTGCGAAGTAATGCGGATTTCATTCTGATTTACTGGAGATTCGGGCTTTGGCTTCTGCACCTTCTGATATCTGTCCATCTTTCTTTGTCCCCTTGGCTCGAAATCGTAAACCCTAAAAACCCTAGAGAGAGAAACAGAAAGGTTAAAATTATTTCTGTGTATCACCACTATCAAGCATACATTTCGCGTTATATAATCTGCAGCACAAAGGTTAGGCTTAGGCCGAGTGAAGGGATGCTCTGCCCTCTGCGAATGTTTGGGCTTTTTCTATTGCAGATTTGAAAAGCCTCCTTCTGGACTTGAGAGTACTACGGGCTTAAGATGGGCTGTGGTTTCAATTTATTGTTTGGTTAATTGGTTATAACATGAGTTAACAAAATAATTATATCATTTATCTTTAAATTTCATTTAATATTTATACTCAAAGTTTTTGTTTTAAACTACAAATATACTAACTTTACTATGAATACCTTATATTTAGCTTACTTTTATAGTTGATTTTTAAATTTCATTATGTTCTTGTTTATGACTAGTTTATAGATGGTTTACTATGATTTATTTCGAACGTTGTATATTTGTAATATTTTTCAAAAAGTGTAGTATAAACGTAAAATAGTCTTCTACTCATGTATCTTTCAAAACATTACAAGATTAAGATTCAAATGCTTAAGTCAGTAAAACAAGGATGAAGATGATGATAAACTATATGTCATTGTATGTGTACAAGCGTAGAGTATTTAGATTGTGTAGAGTTGCTATGTACATACATTATTCCTTTAGATAGAAATATTACTTTCTTTCCCCAAACTCTGTCTGATTTAGCTGCCCGAGTGCTCGAACTACCTAATAGTACAGCATGCGTGCTCGAACTACCCAATTATGTTAGCAACGTGGTCCTATCCACGTGCTCTTCTTATCTTAATTGTATTCGTACTTATCTGTTATATGGTGTGTTCGCATTAGCCAACTTCGTTAGGGAACTATTTTGATCACAATTGCACTATTAGCTCGGTTTTTTTGGAACTATTATGTTTTGACCTTCAATGAGTAAGACTTCCTTTTAGGTCCTATGTTGACCTGTTGGCTTCCAGGTCGTCTTACCATCAGGCTATCCGAGAGCCTTATATCGATTTTTCATTAAACTGTTTTGCTTGATGGCCATCGTCGACCTGGTGGTCTCGTGACCTCTGGTCTTCTTGTTGTCGGGCCGACCTGCTAGTCCAATTGAATAATTATGAATTCACACAAAATATTTATGAAACTTTTTTTCTAAGTTATTTACATTAAGATTAGAAATTTAGTTCAATTTTGTCTCATTTTCAATAACTAATTGATTTCAATGGCATGAAAAATTAGACCCCTTAAAATTTATGGACAATTATATAATAATAATAATAATAATAATAATAATTTTTTTTATTTTTGAATTAATTAATTAGCCCGATAAATTTGTCAAACTTATATTATTTATTGATTTTGTGCCATTTATATATTTATTCATAAATAAGTAATATAGAATAATATATGCTTATTTGTACTAATGATTGAATTTGTAAAATATGATATATGTATAAGAGAAATGCTCACATACCCACGGTGGGCACATATTAATATGTCCACCGCGTA